AAAAAAAACACCAACAACACCAACAGAAAATTTAAATTCTACAATACCAGATTTTCCTACAATACCAACAACAGAAATTTTAAAACCACCAAAACCAACAACAGAAATTTTAAAACCTACAAAAGCAACAGAAATTTTAAAACCTACAAAAACAACAGAGAATAAAGGAGCTGGTTTAATGAATTATACAAATAATGAAATTGAATATTGTTGGATAGATAATATGAAACAATTAAATGAAAGATTACATTTAATAGCAGCTGAACAAAAAGCAGGAAATTATACTTATCATAATGAACTACATGGGATTCTTAAATTATTTAAAACAAAAATGGAACATTTAATAGATGATCCTAAAGGTATTGAATATTTACTACAATATGTGATAAATTTACCAAAAGAAATAACAAATGATATACATATACAAAAATTAAGAGAACAAATATATTATATATCTAGTGAAGAAAGAGTAGGAAATAATTATTTTCATAATAAAAAACTTGAAATACTTAATTTTTGTATTACAATAATGGAAAAAGGAATTGATATTCCCGATAATGGTCCGATATATTTATGGTCATTTATTTCAAGTTTACCAAATAAAATTATAAAAGGTGCAGGCTTTTTTAATGATTTTTTGAATTGTAAATATTTACCTCCGATGCATTATCCTAAATATAAATATTTAGGACCATTTACAGATTTAGAGAAAAATGAAGAACAAAATATACAACCAATCAACAAATTAGACGAAGCTGCAAGAGAACACGATTATTTTTATAAAAATCATAAAGATATTAAATCAAGACATATTGCTGATAAAGTTTTACAACAAAAAGCATTGGAAAGATATAATGATCCTGATAGTCCTATATCTGAAAAAATTCCGGCTATAATAACTGCATATGCAATGAAAGGAAAAAGACGTTTAGGAATGATTTTGATATATGAATAAATTTTATAATATTTTGTATTATAAAATGACGTACTATTTTAAATTAAATAAAAATCAAATTAAAAAATTACAAGAAGCTCATAAAAATAATACTAATGCAACACTTCAATTTGCTAGTAACAAAATATTTAAAGGCGAAAATATTTATAATTTAGATAAAATTCAATTAGATAAATTAAAAAACGCTAAGGATAAAAAATCTGGAGTAAGGATAGAGATTCGAAATTCACAAATTAAAGATAAAAAAGGTGGATTTTTACCATTACTTTTTGCAGGGATAGGTGCAGCTAGCGCGTTAGTTGGAGGTGTATCTGCAATTTACAAAAGTGTTAATGATAAAAATTATAAAAATGCAATTGTAAAAAAAACAATTCGACATAATAAAGCAATGGAAAATAAAGGTTCTGGATTGAAGAAAAAAAAAAAATCGAAAAAAATGAATAATTTCAATAAATCATCATTTATAAAAAATTTGAAAAAAAAATATCTAAAAATTGAACCGCTAAGTAATTTTGATATAATACAATTTGGAAATAATATAAAAATATTCAGAGGTTGTTTCATGAGAGATGAATTACCTCTTAAACCACTGTTAAATGAATGTGGAATATTAAATTTAAATAATTCTACTCAAGACGGGTCACATTGGGTTGCATGGAAAAAAATAAAAACGAAAAAATTTATTTCGATTCATTTGGAATGCCTCCTCCTCCAGAACTTGTAAAATATTTAGGTGAAAATAACCTTCAATATACTGATGATAAATTCCAAGATTATGATGATCCACCTATATGTGGACATTTATGTTTAGAATTTATTAAAAACTATAAACAATTTATTTAAAATTTAATAATATAAAATTAATGGTGACGATCTAATATATTGTCTTAAATGTAAAATTCAAACAAAAAATATTAATGCAACTAAAATTCAAACAGTTAATGGTAGATGGAGAATTTCATCAAAATGTTTCAAGTGTAACACAAATAAAAGTAAATTTATAAAAAATTCTACAATTGGACATAATATTTCCAATAAAAAATTAAATGATACAGATAAAATGATATTAGCTAAAGAAAATCATAAACCAGTTAGAAAAAAATTTCCTAAACGAAGAATAATTACTAAAGGTATAGATGATTTATGGGCTGCAGATTTAGTTATAATGAGAAATTATTCTGATGAAAATGAGGGTTATTCTTATATATTAACTGTTATAGATACATTTTCAAAATTTTCTTGGGCCTTAGAACTCAAAAAGAAAGATGGAATTAATGTTTCAGAAGCATTTGAAAAAATAATAAAACAAGCTATATCACAAAATCATCAAGCACCAAAAAAACTTCACGTAGATAAAGGTTTGGAATTTGAAAATAAACATTTTAAAAAAGTTTTGCAAGAATATGGAATTAAAATGTATCACACCCAAAATGAAGAAAAATCGTCAATTATTGAAAGATTTAATAGGACATTAAACAGTAAAATGAGATAACAATTTGAAGTTACAAATTCAAAAAAATGGATTAAAATTTTACAAAGTTTAATATATGAATATAATTTCAAAGACATACATCGATCTATTGGTATGAGACCTTGTGAAGTAAATAAATCTAACGAAGATGTTGTTTTTCACAAATTATTTTGTACAAAAAACAAACCTAAACCAAAAATTAAATTTAGTGTAGGTGATAGAGTAAGAATAACAGCTTCTAAAAAAACATTTGGTAATAAATTTATTAATAATTGGACAAAAGAAATATTTATAGTTAATGAAATTTTAAACACAAATCCTATTACGTATAAAATTATAGATTTAAACAATGAAGAGATTATAGGGAGTTTTTATAACGAAGAGTTACAAAAAACAAAATTTTAATAATATGACCTAAGTTAAAGGAAGTGATATCTATATAAACCATCTTCTAAAATAAATATTTCTTTATCTTTATGATAATTACTAGGAGGAGTTCCTGGTTGGGTGGGTCCAACCAACCCAATTCTTTCTTTCTTATATTTATTTATTTATTTGGAATATTATTTTTTATAAAATCTTTAATATTATTTAAATAGAATTTTAAATAAAAATTATTTTTATTAAAAATTGAATATAAAAAAATAATAATATTTTCTATAATAAAGAATGGAAGGATTAAATAAAATTGAATCTTTAGTTAAAGAAATTGATATTAATAATAAAATGGATGTATTAAATAAAAAAATATACCCTGTGTAGTAACCCGTCGCTCTCACTTGATTGGTTACTGCACACTTCTTTAACGACGAATGCACGTACACGTCGTCGCAATGAATCGGAGGATGGTGGTTGAAGTGAAGGTAGAGTAAGAATAGTTTAACACAAAATGTAGTTAATTATAGATACAATGTTTATTGACACGAAACTAATAATATAGTTAATTTAAAGTAATGTAAAATTTGTCGACAGAATAATAATTCTGCCGGAGAATAGTTGTAATTGAAATTATACTTGATGTGGACGGCAATGCGGCTGTTTCTAGTCCGCGACCCACACAAGTATTGTTAAGCACTGGAAATTACTTCTATGTCTGAAAAGTCTGTGAAACAGGGCCCCTATTTATATGAGACATGCCCGGGATTTAGGAAAGGATGATTGACGTCATAGGAATGGCGTGATGTGTAGTTGATCAGTATTAACCAATGAGGCGGCGCCTCAGTGGCCTATTTTGGTGGCGTGATGTTGTTCAGGCCACCTAACCTTTGGAACGCCGTTTTTGTGTAAAAACGTCGGTTTACTACATTCCTCCCTTGTAAGAATGATACTCCGTATCATAAAGATGAAATGGTTGGATACACGGAATATGCCGTGCTCCGCGGTATTAGGGCTTCCTGCTTGATTACGTCTCTCGGTGTGTGTCCGGAACTGAGGGTTGGTTTTTGGCCTTCAGTTACGTCGGGTTGCTCGGAAATCGGAAGTTGTACAAACTCTGTCTCTTGTCTGCGATCGTTTGCTTGTTCCCGCTGCGCAGTGCGCAAGTCAGCGCACCAAGGTAGTTTTTCCACCCAACTTGTCATGAATAGAATTAGACAGACGACTGTTATGGCACTAACTACATATAGTAAATAGTCATGTTTGTTTTTGCTGTATTTGATTTCTTCCGTTTCGTCGTTCTTTGATATTACTTCTTTTATTTCCGATGTAGATTTTGCAACTAAATTTAAGTCGAACATTTGATTTGTTCGTACGTGTTTATTTTTTAAAATGTTGTTGGTCAAGCCCGCATATGTTCCTGCGGGTTCCCTCATTCTGGAATTTGGTATGAAGTCGACATACTCGGTGTCGGTTTCCACTATGTGCGGAATCAATATGTCCCGTGTCGCGTATGCTTTACATGTTTCGTTAAGTGACAATATTCCTACTCCCTCTAAGAAGTGGTTCATGCTTCGTTTGTCATGATCGCATGTTATAAATATGGTTTCACCTGGAGTAGCATAAATCCAGTCATTTTTGAATTTTAATTTGTGAAATAAATTTGTCTGTAACTGTACATGCATTATCTCGCAACTCTCCGGAACTTCCTTTGGATCTTGTAGTAGAAGCACCTCGCATATGGGGCGTACACTTCTAGGATGTAAAGGATATATTTCAGGACACATGAGGAAATCACTGGCATGTTTACATTGACTTCTATCGATTTCGTCATAAGTGGAATACAATTCTTTGGATTTACTTATAGCTAAATACTTATGATTAGGTTTTACATATAAACAATTATTTTCGTCACAATTTGGTATTGGTATTAGCTGAAAAAGAGTTAATTCATGTTGGTATACTAAAGGTACATTTATGATAAATATAATTTTGTCATTCGAATAATATATTGTAATGTCTGAGAGGGGCATCATTTCTTCTACATTATTTAGGTTAAGTTCCATGGGTAAATCTGTCCCACTAGGTAACCCTATCTTAATCCCCATGAATTGTTTTAATAATTCTGGTGCTGTCATTAAACTGGGATGCAATAATCCTACTTTAGCTGCTTGTATGACATCGAACAACATAGTGGTCTCAGATAAATATAATTGTAAGACGAGGCTCGTCTGGAAAAAAATGATAAGCTAGATAGCTTTTCATGTTGAGTTCGTTCGTCATATTTGTCAGCTGTTTTATTGCATCGCCTAAATCAATTAGAACGTCGGGTCCCTTATCATGTTCGTCCTGAAGTTTGATAACCCTCAATTGTTTCCCTATGTCGTTTATCTCTGAGGTATTCGCATCTATCAATTTTTTTACATTCGCGTTGTGATGCAAAACGCAGAATTGATCACATAACCCAAACAGAATCTGAGCTGCCTTGGTTATTGCTTTAAACGGGAAACCCCTCCTTTTTTTATGTGAATGACCTATAGACTCGTATATTACATTTTTTTTTCCGTCCGCGAGATACGCGACGTATTTAGCTAATGATAAGATAACTTCGCAATTAGTTTGGGTGATATTCCGCTCTTTTAAAAATATACATAATTTATTAGTTGCATCTAAATATGAGTCTATCACATTTTTCCTTTCGTAAAAATGTGATATATCAAAGGACGCTATTATGTTCCACTGCGTCGTCATTATTTTCAGCGGACCTTGATTTTCGAAATATAGACCAGCTTGCGTAGTTAGCTTTTCATCAGTATACCTTTGGATTCCGTGAATGGAACATACGGCCAATAGTATATACATTAGTCTGAAAAATGTATTGATTATAGGATTTGTTTTTTTTTAACAAAGAAATAAAACTTCGTAATTGACTCTTATCTGCGTAATTATTACTATATATTTTCCCAATTAAATTCATAAAAAAAAACAAAATAAATTATATAATTCATCTTTCGCTGAGTCTACTCCCAGATTCTTGTTCTTTCAACAATACAAAACGCCGCCTAGTTTTCACTAAAAACAATATCCACTCTCCCGAAATGGCAGGGTTGTCTTTTGAAAATTCCTTTACCACCCTTCTTGCTAGCGCCAGTAGCGCGGTGATTTCTTCGAGGTTTTCCCTCCCCGTGAAGTTAGGTGGCTTCAACTCCCTGTATATTATGGTGGCCTTGCCCACCGGGATTTCTTTTTTACTAAGAAAAATATATAACAATTTCATTATTATTCTTGTTTTTTATTAATTACATTTTTTTTTTTTAGAAGATGATATTAACATCATATTAAAAGTAAATACATTTATTATTTTCTTAACTATAATTGGTTATGTTATTATGCTTTCGCCTACACGCGCGTATTAATCTATCAAATAAACATTTCGTTAATATTACATCCGTGCATGGGTCATGCGCGTACGTTATCGGGTGAACCCGATTGCATATCAATTTGTGCGTCTCGCCTAGACCTAATTGGCGACCGCTTTTGTCGGCGTACCCAATCTCTTCTTGGGCTATAACTTGTTTAGTACTCATTACTTTTAATTGCAAATAAAATACGCGGTTGTCATATAAATCGTACGATGTTAGCTCCAGCATAATATAATTTCCTAAACCTAGACGTACCATGATTTCTTTATCCGTACTACCACTGAAGAATACAAGTACGGGTTCTTCGTTCCCTTTATCTAAATATTTTTTTATACTTTTTACATTTAAATTATTTTTTTTAGAATTTATACTATCCCTCATTTGGCTTAATATTGGGAACAAACGTTCCTCTTTTCCTTTAAAAATTCTACACATTTCTCGGATTGCTCTAATTACGTCCAATTCGCTCATTGTTTTGACCTGTCCGGATAATGTTAGAAGTAAGGGTTTCCCCTCGATTTTGATCGTCCTAAACCGGTCTAAGCTGTTGGACATTGCCCCAGAAACAAGCACTATGCTTGTCCTATCGAGCATCGAGAATTCGAAATCCATAACGATGAATCTTTTATTAATACTAAAACAACAAAAAAAAACAAACTTATGTAATAATGATTACTTATGACTACTTATAACAATAAAGAAAATTGGAGGTTCCTATAGCTAAAAATATATATATATTATGACACCGAAGTGTTCATAAATCGGTCTCGAAATATTTTTTGGTATCATTCACGTGGATCCTATAGTCCTTCCTCCCCTTCTTAATTGTTATATTTTCATTGTCATGTATCATTATTATCTCATATGGACCTGTCCAATTTAAACATAACGCATTCTTTTTGTTATGCTCCTTTAATAAAACCTTATCCCCTACGTGTAACTCGAGTGGATTTGCACTTTGGTCGTAGTATAGTTTATTCGTACTTTTCTTTTCGATTAAGTTATCCCTAGCAGTCTGATGAGTTTCCTGCATTACTCGTTTCAAATCTAACGCATAGTCGTCATAATTATATTGTGGCTCCGGCGCTTGTACAAATGCCGAAGGGATTATTGGTTTTTTTCCGAAAACCAACTCATATGGTGTGTATTTCGTTGATGTGTGTACCGTAGTGTTATAACAAAACATCGCGTAGCTAATTAGTGTGTCCCAATTGTTGTCTTTGTCTACGAAACTTCGTAGATAAGCCTTTAATGTTTTGTGAGATCGCTCAAGATATCCATTAGACTGTGGGTGCCACGGTGTTGTTTTAATTTTTTCGATTTTTAGAATTTTACACACGTCTTTAAATAAATTCGATAAGAAGTTCGTCCCGCAATCCGTTAGGATTGTAACCGGTATACCGTATATGCATATAAAACATTCCACGAAAGCTTGCGCTACCGTGGCTGCGTCTGTCGAGGCTAATGCTATCGCTACACCGTATCGTGATAACTCGTCTTGTAAAGTTAAAATGTACGCGTTACCCGCGGTAGTTATCGGAAGGGGACCAACTATGTCTAAACATACTTTATGAAATGTTGTGGTCACGGTCGACGTGATTAACATAGGTTGTTTTACTTTTTTGCCCGATTTATTTTTCTGACAAACGTTACACTGTTTAATATAGCCTGCCACGTCTTGTTTTAAATTTTTCCATTGATATTTTAATTTTAGACGTTTTATGGTTCTGGATATTCCTTGGTGACCCCCTACTAATGTATCGTGATATTCTTTAATAATTTGATTTTTCTCGTCATCGGTAAAAAATTGTTCCTTATAAATAGTTACTGCTATATCAGTGTTTCGGAATATGTAACGGAACATCGTGCGTATGCGCTCGTAGCAGGTCAACGTTGTTAACCCTTCTAGCCTGATAGTCGAGAATTGATTAATTCGTTTTTCAATACAATATATTTTAATCTCTTTAATAGCGTCGTAATAATTCTCGGCGTTAATTGTAGTATAATGATTATTTTTAAGATTGTAAAATATTACTAATTTGTCGGTTTGTTCAATCGAAACAAATTTATTATTATCATTAAAAATTACCTGCTGCGGTAAATCGTTATTGTTTATTACATCTCTTATCGCTGGATGCGTTATTATTTTATCATTCGAAATAGGTAAAATTATATTTTCATTATTTTGCGCGTGTTTTATACTTCCCTCTATTTCGGTTATTTTGGAATTAAAAATCGGTTTAACTTCTGCTTTTTTAAACTCTTCGAAATCGCTAATTGGCTCATCATTGGTAACAACATGTATACGTGATAAGCAATCCGCGTTCGAATGTTGTGGGCCTGCTCTATAGATTATTTCGTAATCGTATTCCTCGAGCTGTAATCGCCATCGCATTAACTGAGACGAAACGTCTTTTATATTGAATAAATACGTTAATGGACGGTGATCGGTGATTATTTTAAATTTTTTTCCGTATAAGTAAGGCCTAAAATACTTTACAGCCCATACTATCGCTAACAATTCTTTTTGTATTACGCTATAGTTTGTTTCGGCGGTATTTAAAGTTCTACTTGCGTAAGCTATGGGTTGATCTTTAGGTACGTCACCTTGAGACAAGACCGCTCCAATTGCGTATTGGCTTGCATCGGTCATGAGGTTAAAATTTCCATTTTCCCAATTAGGGTAGATAAGTAGAGGTGGATTCATTAACGCGTTTTTTAATTCTTGGAATGCTTCTTCACACATGTCCGTCCACACGAACGGTGTGTTTTTCTTTAATAAGCTAGTAAGAGGTTTTGCTATTTTGGCAAAGTTATCAACGAATCGGCGGTAATAATTTAATAAACCTAAGAATGACTTTACGTCTTTCTCGTTTAGTGGTCTCGGATATTCTTTAATACAACTTAATTTGTTTGGATCAGGCGTTACCCCGTTTTCGCTGATCACGTGCCCTAAATATAACACCTCTTTACGTAGAAACATACATTTACTAGGTTGCAATTTCAGTTTATGTAGTCTTAATCGCGTAAACACCTGCTCTAACCTATTCTGGTGATCTACTAAACTTGACCCGTGGACTACATTGTCATCTAGATACGCCGTACATAACTCTTCCAAGCCCATTAAAATAGATTTCATGGCTCGAGTAAAAGTTGCCGGCGCAGAACTAAGTCCAAATGGTAAACGTAAAAATTCATAATGCCCTGATTTTGTAGAAAAAGCTGTTTTATGGGTGTCTCCCTTATCAATCATTATTTGATGATAACCGCTTGCAAGATCAAGTGTAGAGAAGTACTTAGATGAGCCTAAGGATTCTAGTATCTCTAATATATTCGGTAAGCCGTATGCTTCATTTTCCGTAACCTCGTTTAATTTTCGGAAATCTACACATACTCGTAACTTTTGGTTACCGTTCAGATCTTTTTTCTTTTTTACTACCACTAGTGGAAAATTAAATGGTGATAATGAATTACGTATTATATTCGCGTCTTTCATTTCTTTTACTTGTTTTTCTATCTCGTCCTGGTACGCGTGCGGTAGCCTATATGGACGTATGTTAATCGGTTTAACACACCTAGGTGTATTAATTTTATGCGTAACAATGTCAGTTGCACTCAAAAGATCGCCTTCGAGAAAAAATAGATCAGAAAAACGACTACACAGGTCTAATATGTTATCGCGTTCTTCGTGATTAAGATGCTCGGTATTAATAGTTTCTTTGATCCTTTTAATTCTATTCGAAGCGTAGTTGTTGCTTTCGCTAGCAATAAAAACGTTATCGTGGTACGGTTCCCATTTAAAATTACTCGTGGTTAATTGTTCGATAATAAACGGTTGTTCGGATATATTTATTATATTACTTATTATTTTATCACCTTTGACCGGACTGATACTATTAGCTATAATTACGTCTTCATTAATTTCATATTTTTTTATCGTTATTGCTTCGCAATTGATTTCTTCGTCGGCTTTTATTTGTAATACACAATTACTCCTCGGCGGAATAATTAGTGCGTTATTAATTACTTTTTCTGGGATTATTAATACTTCTTTATCCCAATCCAAAACTACCTTATTTAGTTTTAAAAATGATATGCCTAATATACCTGCTTCGGGTATTGGAAAATTATCATACACAATGTCGAATTTTACTACGAAAGGTTGTTTGTTAATATAAATTGGAATCACTACTGTTCCCACTGTCTCTACTGGACTTGCATGAATACCTTTAATTTTTTTCTTATCTTTTTCGTTTACGATTATATGCCCTTTTAAACTTGAAATTTTTATAATGTTCATTTCAGAACCGCTATCAATTAAAAATTTGATTTCGCTTTTAACAAAATTATCGGAAAAACATTTTATATGTTCCCGCGTTATAGGCGTTATTACGCGTACGTTACTTCCCGATTGTATTTCTTCGATGGATCTATTTTGAT